AAATAAAATTTATATTAAATACTAACGTTGTAGTAGTATAATTGTGTATCGTCCCCATATAAATGATACTTTGGAAATCTAAACGTGTATGTTCAGGTATAAAGGTGGGAAGTTTTCGGCAAATTTTCTCACGCAAGTTGCTGTCTGACAACACTGCCCTCCTAAGCCAAAAAGGCGTATCTCCAATTTCACTGAATTTCTTATTCCTTTATATAAGGACACTTTGAGTTGTGTTTAATCCATTTCCTTAGCGAAATAGACGTATCTCGTCCGTATTGTGCAGCTAAAGTGCTAGAAATATAAGACGTATCTCAAAAATGAAATAAAAACCCCCATCTTTTTCAATAATCGGTGATGCCATGGAATTTTATCATACAAAAACTACGTCAATATCCGTCATGCCATGGAATGTACAAATCAAATTCTATCAAAAAGTATTATATTTAGAACAGCGAATTCAACATAAAAAAAGACCAAATTACTAAAAACGGTTTCCTAATATAACAATTTACAATAAATGTTCGAATAAGTCACCATTAACTGCAATACAGTAACCAAGTCGATCATAAAAGCCATTTCGAACTGCTGCTAATTGATAACTGGATATCTTTTTGTTTCAAAAAATTCCATGGCATCGCAGATTATTGAAAAAGATGGGGGTTTTATTTTCCAATTTTCCGTCTTTATTATGCAAAAAATTGAAAACTAATAGGGTTGATTGACATAAAAAAATTTTTCCTACAAAAAACCTTAATACATTTTTATTCTAAAATAATGTGGGGAGCCAATAATCGCATGTTATGAATTTTACATTGAAATCCCTATGATGCGTTACGCAAGTCACCACCCTGTATACCTTGATGGTAGCGTCAATTTTACATTTCCCAAAGCAATAACAGCAATACCCATATCGGAAGCGCTAATAATGACTTCGCTACTTGTTGGTACTTTACCAAGATGGTAAATTATTCGAGAATCTGCCTCTTAGTGGCTGCAGCACAATTCGGTTTTTACCACATCATCTTCCCTTGTCACAAATTTATAGCACTTATCTTCATATGTAGCAAACACAACATTCCTTCCAAGTAAAGCACAACAGGTCTTTTTTGCCTATGAACGGTATAATTAATCTATAAGAGAGGCTTTGAGCATTGCGAAGTGGTTTTATGAAATTTGCAGGCTGCTTCTGAGTGGAAACAGAAATTGAGTAGGATTGATCCCAACGATCATGTTCTGCGTCCTTCATGGAAGGGGTAACTATCTGTCAAAAGTAAGATGAACTTCTCTCGCTGACACAGCACAAATCTTGCCGAGGATGTGTTCAGAAAATCGTTCAAAGGTTTACCGGAGATCTTTTAAAAGATGCAAAAAAAATAATCCATCGATTAAAACAACATCTACAACTGGCGATGGACTAGGAGCACTTGAAGAAATCATACTTCCGAAAAAGTTTCAGCAAAACAAACTTGTCGATTTTAATCAGCGATCCATCAATGTTGCATACAGACAACGGAACTGGAGTCAGAGGATAGTTTAGAACGAGCTGAAGATCTATCTTCTTTTCTCTTCAAGTTTTCTGTTTCTCAGTCTGAGAAGAATTCAAGAAATACCGACAATCTTATCGCCAAAAATTTATTATTTTCCCTAATTTAATTCGTTTGGTAACTCCAAGCGGTGCGTAAATCTATAGCTATCTCTGTTCGTTGTGCCTTCCCGCGATTATCTCTCACACGCTCGCACTCGCTGGGATTTACTATACCTAAATGTTTTAACTTCTAAGACGTCTGCCACTATTAAAGCTACACTTAATTTCGTCTGCCAGGATATATTTTAAAGTAGTGACAAAAAGAGGAATTTTTTATGTATAATTTTTGTACGGTCCTCATGGTTTAGTTCAGGGGTGTTTTTCGCTACATTGGAGGGCGTCTTTCGCTACCAACGCTGCACTTGAAATCGTCTGCCATAGCATATTTGAAAACTATAGAAAAGATGGGATTTCTTGATACAAATCTTTTCCGTGACCCTTATAGTTTGGTAATTTAGTTGATCACCTAAAGAAGTCACCTATTCAGCGCCGCCCCAAGTTAATGCTGCCACTTACGACTGGCAGACGAGTGATTTTATTATTAGTTTTCAACGTACTTTCAGCCTGTATTGTCGAATTTTTTGTCGCTTATGGTTTAGTTACTATGTACGCTGCCTCTCGGTCTATAAGTCAATATAATTTATTATCCCTCTGTTATGCTGAACCTTCAACAGGCTTGCGTCCAATTACTGAGTGACCCGCATAATGGAAGCACAGATAAAATACTACAGACGGCTCATTAATCCGGACGACAAACGCGATTTATTTGAGAATCGTGCACTTTTGTATAGAAGCATGAATTTTTGTATACGACTTACCTATACCCTAACAGTCATTTTAAACATTAGAGCCACTCTGGCTCTCTGCCAGGGGGGGCGTACGGTGCCCATTTCAAAACGCCCGTTTTAGCAGTGGTATCCATTCGGTAATACCTCTGCCAACTCGCAACCACTAGGGCTAGAACAAAATTAAAACACGGATTTTGTTGAGCACCATCTTAGCTAAAAAAATGTTATATTGATATTTACCCTAAATGTATTGAGTGTGGCTTTTTTTGGGGCCAAAGTTAACCTTGATTATTTTTCCCACAAAAAGTTGAGAAGTTAGGCTTTCTCCACTCAAAATACTGTTTTTATTCATCTTTTTAGATGTATAGTTAAACTTATTAACATACATAAATTAAATTTATTAAATTAAATTAATGAAATTGTAATTTTATATTATTTGTTGTGTCCTATTCTTCGTATAGTAATAGTATATTCTATAACGAGTATGGAATAGAGTGTATTCCGCGCGAGTGGAAAGTTCGTCACACGAGCCGAAGGCGAGTGTGACGGTTCCACGAGCGTTGAATACCTATTCCTTACAAGTAATAGACATAATTTTTTCTACTACTACGACGAATTTTTGCAAAATTTGTAAAACAAGTAGGGTTAACTATAGACAATTCACACATTAGTAGGGACGTCGCTATGTACGGTGTGTTGGTATAACAGATCCCTGTGGCATATTTGACAGATATTTGACTAAATGGCTGTATAAACAAATTCCTTGACAATTTCTCTTCCCTCAATATCCCAGAAAAGGGATACTAACTTTTCTGTGATATTATTTACAAATGTGCACATTTATTGAATGTGTCCTGTCCTGCGCAGTGTATCAATCGGCGTGGATCATTTAGATTTAGATAAACATAAACGATAAACGTATTCGAAAGTGCGACCGGAATGTAATTCATGATGTGTATTCAAATACAAAATGCTAAAAAGAGGACGTTATGGATGCAAATTAGAAATAAACATCATAGCACTCCTCGAAAAATTTGTATGTAAGTATCTACGAGTGTAGGTAACATTTTAGTGAGCATTATATTTTAGGTTATAGTTTTAAAACTTCCTGGAGGAAATGTGTTCTCGATGACTAACAACGTTAACTGTTTGGATATGTGTTCTTTTTGTATAGTGTAGTGAGGTACATTAATTCATTGTAGAATATGCAACTTGATGTTTGGTTGTAGGTATACCAACGTATGGGTCCCTCGTAATTGTAAACTTTTGTTGTACATTAGTTTTCGTATTGGGTATTCTAATTACAGTTCCACCTAAGTCCACCGATTTTTATGTTCCACAATTCGTGCATACGACAAGCACCACTAATGTCAACTATAAGAGCAACCTGTAAATGTAAAATAGATATGATGTAACGAGTAACGATTTGAATGTGTAATGTTATAGTAGATATGAACTGTCGGGGGTGCTTTTTGAATAAACATTTTTACTTTGCTCGTTGATAGAATTTTTGACTTTTTAGGGAAATAGCCGCTGGATTGCGTTTTTAACAAGGCCTGCAACTTAGCATAGCTGCTTATATCTACATTATTGTTCAAAAGGATCGTAGAGCGCAGCATGGAATACGTTTTCCACAATGATGTGGATGCTTTAATTTCCTGTGATAGTTCGCTAAAGTAAGTCAGCACTACGTTCTCTGAAAATAAGTTGGTTTTTTTCTTGATCCTCCACTCCAAAAATTTGCTGTATGTTCTTACACTTTTAGTTTGTCGGGAAGTAAATTTTTTTGCGTGTTCTGCTTCCGCGGTGATTTCCGGGGGAGTATTTGAAAGTTCCATTAAATCCTCACTGGCCACTGCTAATCATTTTCGCGCTACCGGTCCTTAAAATTTAATATCTGGCGCAAGCGTAATTAAAATTTTGACAGTTTAAGAATTGTGGTTTAGGATGTCCTGTTTTAGATGTCGCCACATGTGCTCATTCCATCACAAGAGCTAGAATGAAATTATTCCACTTCACTAGCAGAGAATAGGCGAGATTCTGTTGTTAAAAAAGAAGCAAGTATGACGTGATTCTAAGGTAGTAGTAGAAAAAATCTTATATGTAGTTTGAAAAGAAAATTGTAGCTTTAGAATAATATATGTATATATTATCAATAATCCCTTTTTACCATATACAGTGTAGGGATATTAATTCAACTTAACCTATTTTTAATTCATTACAATAAATAAAAACTTAACATGCATATTCACTGCCATATGTTCATTTGTACACAAATTTAGTCCACTCCTTCCTGTTCTGTGCCAAGGTTCTTCCTTCGTCCCATGTTACCCCCTTCTCTTGTAGGATTTCGCTCACCACCCCGTTCCATGTCTTTTCCGGTCTGCCCCTTTTCTTCTCTTTCTGCACTCTTGTCTCCCAGATTTTTTTCACCGGGATATCTCCGCCGAGTCTCTGCAAGTGCCCCCACCAACTGAGTTGCCTTTGTTTTATATACTGTATTACTGACTCTACCTTCAACTGTTTTTGTATTGTCTCGTTTGGGATTCGATGCAGTCTAGTTACCCCCATAATTGTTCTCAAAATTTTCATTTCTGTCGCTTGCAGCTTACTTCTTTGGCTTTTGTTTAGAACCCAAGCTTCACTTCCATATATGTGAGTATTGGTCTACATATGCTTTTGTAAACTTTTGTTTTCGTTTCTCTTGACATTTCTCTCCTGTTGAAGAATACGTGTTTTAAGGCGTAGTACATTTTCAATGTGTTTTCGGTCCTTTTGTTAACTTCCATGTTCTGCTTGCCGCCCTCTTCTATTGTCACCCCTAGATACTCGAAGTTTTGGACTTGCTCTATGATATCGCTTCCTATCTTCACGTTTAGTACTTCTTGTGTGTACCGATCATTTGCCACCATCACTTTAGTTTTTCTGCTATTTATTTTCATTCCCACCGCTTGGAGTTCGTCTCTCCATACTATGAGGCTCTCTTGTAGTTCTTGTTTGCTCCCACTTATAATAACTACGTCAACCGCAAATGCGCATTCCGATAATCCGACTTGTTGCAAGTATCTGTACCCGATGACCATTTTTCTCGTTCTGGTTGTACTCCTCTTAATGACATCGTCCAGAAAAATTGTGAATAGTACCGGGCTCAATACACCTCCTTGTCTTAGTCCTTGTCTTGTCGTAAATTCTTCCGACTTCCTGCCATGGCTGACTACGTAGTTAGTGTTACGTTTGTACAAACTTTGTATTGCCGATATTAGTTCTGCTTCTACCCTTCTTTCGTATAAGCTTTCCCATACTTTGTGCCTTGGTACGTTATCGAACGCTTTCTCTAGATCTATAAAGGCAAAATATGCCTGTTTCCCTCTTAGTATTGTTTTCCTTATTATTTCTTGTATTGTAAATGTATGGTCTTGTGTGCTGCGCCCAGGTCTAAATCCACTCTGCGATTGTTCCAGTGAATCTTCTATTTGTTGTCGTAATCTTCTCTCGATTATGCTGTTCATACAATTTTAGAATTACGCTTAAGAGAGTTATTCCCCTGTAGTTTTCGCATTGTTTTGCATTTCCTCGTTTATGAATTGGTACTATTATTCCTATTTCCCAGTCATGCGGTATGCACCCTTCTTTCCATACTTTATTAAAAATTTCTTCTATTAGCTGTATTCCCTCTTCCTCCATTGCTTTCACCATGTCCGTCGTTATTTTGTCATGTCCTGGAATAATAATTATTATAATTAATTAATAATGCAACGTGGAGTGCAAGGCAAGTTCAATTTCGTACACTTGCAGGATGTACATACGCTGCGCTTAGAGTCACATTTCACCAAAACGCTGATGTTTGCCCCCCCCCCCCCAACCGTTATTCACTTCCGACGTCGCTGTTTTCTCGTTATTTTTTTACGGATTACAACGGAATGACAACATTTATTCAAAAATACATTTTCATGAGGTGGGCCATTTTCGCTGAGACGGAGCTCTTCCTGTTTTGCATTGTGTAACCATTTATTGTGGGATGCCGAATATGAACTTTGAATTGAGGTTTAAAGGGAATCGCATTACTTAACCAGGCTGGGATCCTTCAATGTATTCTTTACATATGATTTTCAAATTAGGCCAGCTCCTAAACGAGTGCATCCATCGCGGAGATTTTTTAGGACGTGTAAGATACATATTGAACTTAGGTATGGGTATACATTAAAACAGAACTATTTACTTCAAACTTGTAAAAAAATATATAATTTTGCGTGTCGCGTAAACTCGACTTTGTGAGGTTGAAGGTAAGTGTTTATTTCTAATAATTTAGTAATGTAATAGGTATCCACACCTAAGTTGGGGTCTTCTTCAATGATTAACCGAAGAAATCATCTAAATTAATGCATTGCCACTGGCCTTAATCAAAATTTATTTGACATGATTTAGTATATCTATTTTGTAACGGCCAAACGTTAACTAAAATTGCTTTTGCTATTTTTTACCAGACGCATCACTTTGTACGTAAGGTTAAAAATGGAACAATTTTTACGTCTCCTTCCTCGCTTCCGTTTTGCCTGGAAGCTAATTCTTATACTCCAGCGGCGGCTAGGGACAGGCCATTCAAAATTTAAGCTGCGCCTACGCAAATAATTATATACGCAACCAATCGTGCAATTCGACAAGTTTCACCAGACATAAGCTACCTGCAAATGACCTCATCTTCCTACAATAAAACCAGATTCCAGACCCTCATTAGCGGCTATTCAACAAAAGTAACTGATTTATGGAATTTCAACTTTCTCCTGATGTTTTACAGTTTTACTAATACTGGAAACCTTAGAATAGGAAATCAAAGCTGAAAGCTCTACATACCTATATAAAAATATTACTAATGTATTACTTTCTAAGATTTCCTACTTACTTCCTATATAGGGATTTACAATAATGACTTTTTGAGATTTTGACTTGGGTAATGAAGGGAACAATTTCCGAAACAAGAACAACTGGTCTTCAATTTTTGTGGTTCATAGCACAAATTTATTTAAACAATTATCACATCCGATCAAACTACGGCCCCATAGATTTCTAAATTTATATGATAACGATTTTCACAGGTGCGCGGATGTAAGAATAGTACTTTTCTTCAATTAGATGAACAGTTTTCGATATTTCGCATGGCTTCCGCAATGTAGCCCGGTATTTGCTGCGTTTTCAACCTTCCCCCATTTATCAAATTATATATCTGAATTATGATCTAATTTACAACGAAATAAATGACTCATTTTTCATTACAAAAAATGTTTTAATAGATTTTCGGAAATTTTCCAATTCCAACACGACATTCGCCTGATGCTTTACGAAAATAGTTTATTTGGCTAGCCGTCAAACCTACAGTGGAATGATCAAAAGCATAGGTAAATTAAAAAATTATCAAAGTCCTCGTGTGGGATCGAAGAGAGATCAGCGCATTTTTGTGTGGCAGATCAGTATTGTATTAGCCACCATCAAAAAGATCTTATCGCAAGCTAACACAATCCCTTTGTCGGTACCCCTTCCGACGTCCCGTTCACCCACAATTCGCATTTAGATGAATTTTGCTAAAAACTCTCCACAAAATAGTTCTCAATTTTTGGGGCACTTCTCATAGCTCTATTAGCCACACGAGAAAGAGAGATCGCGATTCGAGCTTTCAGAAACAAAATTCGCAGAGGAAGATACCTTTTGGGCGCCCTAAGTCAACTATCCCTCGCAGACGTGCGCCTTGTAAAATGAGGTTAATTTTGTACCCAGGAAAAAAACAAATTTTCGCCACGCAGTTGTGTCCGTTTACAAGATCTTTCCAACGGCACCTTTTGAAATCTGAAATGTGGTGGCCCCCGCCAAGATCTTACTGATGGTGGAGTAAAACTTCAAACGCAAATTAGGGATGCACGGGACGTCGGACGCGAGTACCGACGAAGGGAATGTGGTAGCTTCGACAAGATCTCACACGAGGACTTTGACAATTTTTTACTAACGACATGCTGAAATAAAAAATTATCACTGTAATACTACTAGTGCTTGCTATTTCCGGAAACTTTTCGAGCTCACACATATTTGAACTTTCGCAAAATATTCATGAGCAAGAAAAAAATTCTATTCAAGCACTGTGGTACGGTAAGAAAATTTCACACCATAGTGACCCTCAACGAAAAAGTGACGTTTTATGTCAAAACATTATTACCTTTTTACGTCAAAAAATTGACGAAAATTCCTTGGTTGCCCTGGAAATGTGACACGAAATCCGCATTTCATTGGTCGACAAAATTGCTGGTTTAAATTTTCGTTGAGATTTGTCACCGTGCCTAAAGTATGTAAGACACAAGATTATCAATTTTTGTATGAACAGTTTTTTAACAGAGCTGGTAGATTCAAGAAGGTGCCGACAACAAACAATTCTTTATGTTTATCTATTATAGGTACGGTTTTGGTCAGAAGTAATGTCCCTCGATTATCTCAAGTGTGGCACATAATTAAGATACCAGATCTCCTGTGAGATTTGAGCTTCTTTTCAACATGAGGAAAATGCCTAAGATTGAAATGAAATCGAACTAAATCACGGAGAAGCTGACACATTGGTACTTTTTCTACAGTTGCAGTTTCTAAGGGAGGACATTACTTCTGACCACGACTGTACATCGTCCAAATTGTACATAATTTTTATGTAATCGATATTATTAAATTGCTTTTTGATAAGTAGGTAACAATACACCTACATCAAATGTATGAAAAAAATGTATGAAACGGGTCTAAAAAATTAAAACGTTGTTACTCCTCAATATTACATTTATTGATGTACAATATTTTTTTAATTATCGGTCAATTATCGTTGGTACTAATAGACGAATAAATGGACGGCATTGAGATTCTTTTGTTACTGGTCTAATAGGGTCATAAACCATTGTATATAAGTATAATGGTCATTTGGTGTTAATATTTTCCAGGTAAAAGTGCTACCTGAGTTGCCTATCGTCATTGTATGGAAGGTATTGCATTTCTTCCGTCGCTATATTTTATATAAACTGTTGAGTAAAAATTACGGGTTATTTCATAATTTGAAGCAGTTCGTAATATATTTTTTTAATCCACTTAGTTACTAAATAAATTGTGCGGATTTACTTTTTAAATATTTTTTTTACTAAGGCCAGTATTCGCGTTCTTAGTAAATTCAAGATTATCGTTTATACACGACTTAAATAATTTTATCAAAAAAATAAATCGCTACATTTAATGACTTTCTATATCTCTATCAATTTCCGATAAGACCTCTAGTTAGAATTAATATTTGGGCTTCAAAAATTACTCAAAAGTTTCGACTTTTATTGCAAATTTCAGTGACCATTGTGTGTTGCCTATCCTCTATCCCTAGCCCCCTCAAGGAATATAAAAAAAGACACTTTAAGCGTAACACAACACTTGAACAGTTCAGACACCTTTTCTTTTCATAAAGACGTATTTTTGTGTTTTAAATAGTCTATATCGTAATTACAATAATTATTGTTTTAAATACATGGATACTTTGTGTTAATTATAAAAATGGCCAAAGCAGGAAATGTTTGTCAATACTTTCAATGTGGTGTTTCAAAACGAGTGGAACCCAATCTAAAAATGTATGGATTTGGTATCAAAAATTCGCTATGTGTAATGTGTGTATCAATTTCGTTTGCAGAACCGAAGATAACTTTTAGGCCAGTAAATGACCGTTTTGCCGTTAATTTTTCGCGCCTCGACAGATTTGCTTGAAAATTCCTCTTACCCTCTACTTCAAAGGTGAACTTGAGCCCAGGGTTGCTTTTATTTGGGGGGGGGGGTGGGGGTTGAATGCCACCTCCTTCTCAGGGGTGGGGGGGGGGGAGGAGATACGTTCAAAATAGTAAAAAAAAAATTTGAAATTTTGAAAAATTGTCTTTTTTTCCAAATAACTATTGGTGCATTAGTTTAGTTTACTAAACATTAAACACAGCACGGCAGAAAAATAAAATGCCGTGATTAGGTACCAGCCCGAAGATCTACTCAATTATTTATTATAATGGTTGAAATTGATCGCATAAATAAACGTTTAAAGCAGGCGTGGGCAACCCACCGTCCGCGGGCCAGATCCGGCCCGCCGATAAGTTTTGTCCGGCCCGCTAACATAATTCAGAGTTAATACTTCATAGGGCCCACAAGTTACATTTAAAATTTTAATTAATTAATTAATATGATTATGTTACACTTGCAGCATCTAGTGGACGCGATCCGAAGCTTCCAAGGCGTTTAAAAGCCTAGTTAAAGATGCATGTCTGGTTTCAGAACTATCGCCAGGTATTTTCCAGAATTTTCCTAGCGATATATACGGGGTGCAAGGACAGGTGTTTTGGGATTAAACAACATTTTTAAGCCATATATTGCAACAAATCTTAAAGAGCATAAATGAAAATTTGGATACAAGCTGAATATGAGGATTTATTATCCACGTCTGGTAATTACTTATTGTTTTTTTTAATGATTTTTACGAAAGAAAAAAATAGATATAGACCGAAAAGAAATAGATAAATATTGATTTCTTTAAACATACTTTTTATTTGGATTTTCAAGTGTGGCCCGTGGCGCATATGAAAAATTTTATTTTGGCCCCTTGGAAAAAAAGGTTGCCCACGCCTGGTTTAGAGCTTTGAATTCATCACATCGCACAGCTTTTCATCTGAACGTATATTAAAACGATCGTACGCCAGTATGGATTTTTTGAAATAACAAGCATTTACCGTACTTATTTTTCAAAACCTTAAACCCATATTTAATAACAATTAGGTACCTATAGTAAATAATATTATTTCATCCTATATTATATATATTATATCAGATATTAACTCATTGAGGACATTAGGAATAACCTGCCTCCTGCCTAGCTATGTTTAACAATTTTCTACTAGTTACAACCTTTGCAAACGAATAAACAAAGCTACAACTTGTTTGTGAGATTGTCTTAGGTACTATAAAGTGGAGTTCATATATATAGACAATATGACAATATCGATTTTTGCAGTGCAATAAAACCTTCATTTAAGAGAATACTCATATTGCTTATGCTTTCCAAAACTACCATATCTTCTCTGATGTATCATGTATTTTACTTTCGGGTCTAGTACATCTTGTTTCCATTGTTACACTAGGACATCCTTGGGGCAATTTCCGAAGTAGCGTAGCGACATTTCCCCAACTACCATTGAAATCACTTTCTACTGTTGCAGTTGATGCGGTTAAATGTGGAGAATTAAAAGATTTGGCAAGAACAGTAGTCTATAGGGGTATCCGATATGCTAATAAGTCGGTCCGCAAGTCTCGGAAAATAGTATAGATATGGATTTGGACGTCCATGATTTTCCGCTTTCTTCTCGTATTTGTTTTTGTATTTCTGTAACCCATTGGCGTATACTACCACCTTCTTCACATAAGTAACCATCCATTTCACAAAATTCAACCCACAAGCAGACTTTTATTTTGATACTTCGTCCCCAAAGTTGGCAAAACATAAGGTCGGTACCAACCGTTATAAAAAGATAGAATCAGCATAAGAAGAAACTGTTCTGACGCTTCCTTTTCGCAAATGGGAACGAGAAATTATGCACAATTTGTGGACCCGACATAAAATACCATGCCCTTATACTTTACGAAGAAGTAGAGTATCACCAAATCGACTATTTTGTAAAGAATACATCCTAATAAGTGCCTACTGTCGACAATGTGGTGCTGATGCTACTGGTAGGATACTGGGTAGACCAGTAGAGGGAGAGAGTGTAAAATTGGAATGGAGATCAAATAATTCAAGAAACATTTTGCATTCTCTGAAGAGACCTTTAGTTGGAGTAGAGCGGTCCCAAATGGCAGATGAAGTTTCAAGGTAGTGGATACCGAAAGAAGCAGTCAGATGTACCTACATTAATAATAATAACTAATAATAATAACTTTTATTAAACCCATTCAATTTAAAAATTGTTTGGTTACGTCACATTCACAATAGGTACTAACATAAAAAAATCATGTCTGTGCATGTAGGGGCAGCCATGTACTCATCAATACTGTAAAAACAGATCTTTAATAAAAATGTTTTGATTTGTATTTTAAACAAATTTAGTGGCAGAGATTTTAATTTGTTATCGACTTTGTTGTAAAGTGCAACATTCAATGAGTTTTTTGTTGATACTCATAATCTACGTTTTACGGGTAAAAGTAACTTACAGTGACGAGTGGCATAACCGTGATTGCTCGTGTCTGACACATTCTTGTTTGAATTTACTAATTTATGAATATGGATTAACGTTTGGTAAATATATATGCATGGTAGTGGCATAATTTTAAGTTTTTTTAATATATCCCTGCAAGGATCCCTAAAACCACGGAAAGCGATGATACATTATGGAACAAGGCGATGTTGAACCTATGCTAAGGATGTGGACGTCTTAGAAAGGCCAAACAACAATTTAACAATAACAATTTAAACATTTCTAAGGGAGAACAATGAAGCATACACAGCCTTACGCGAGATCCATTCACGATGTTGCACTGGACAAGGTTGTAATTCGTTATTTTACACCATCACAACTATATTTATATAGATCAATCATTCTCCCAACGAAATTATGCTATCCTTTGCATAGATGCAACAGGGCTTTAGTCTCCAAAATACCCAGAGTAAAAGGATCATCAGGACACATATTTTTGTACGAAGAGGTTCTTCCCTGTAGAATTAAATTACCGGTGGTGCTTACAGAAAAACAGGACTCTAATTGCATATTCAATTGGTTAAACGAATGGCAGAGAGCAGGAGCACCGCGATCTTCAGGAGTCATCGTTGACGATTCTTCTGCTTTAAAAGCAGCGGTTGTAAAATCCTTTGCGCAATGTCAGGATCTACGCGACTATTTGGACAAACGCTTTTGTCACTTACGTGATGGCCGCTTACCTTTACATCCATGCTTTATAAGACTAGATGTTGCGCACTTCATACATGCAGTTAGAATGTGGAGTATATGGAGAGACGAATCCAAAAAAATAGTTCACGATTTTTTCCTGCGCTGTACAAAGTACACCATTAAAAACCTTTAAGAAAGTGTTCTCTCATACTTTAGTAGTGACTTTATCGCCATGCCCCATGGAACAAAGTCTTCGATTTTTGTCTAAGAAAATTAAAGGCGAATTACTAGTCTCACTCTCCGATAATGAAGACAATGCAACTATACAGAATTTATGTGAACTGGATGGTGACTTATGTGAAGAAGGTCGTAGTATACGCCAATGGGTTATAGAAATACAAAAACAAATACGTGAAGAAAGCGGAAAATCATTTATTTTATTTATTGTCCCTCTTGTTCTAGGCCCTCAACAGGCTTACCCCCAATTACAGAGTGACCCGCATAATGCTCTTTAGAGGTGCCCCTGCAGAAGGTTTTAAGTTGTTCTATACTACTCCGGTATTTACCTTACGAATTAGGAAAACTGCAGGAAAACTCAAAATCGATATTGTCATATTGTTATGCGAAAGTCAATCAACTGTTTCATGTGAGCTAGGAAATCATCTTTTCATAGTTGTCGATTACCTAACGGTACCAGAGCTAGAGGCAGAAAGTGACATAGAATATACGCTTACCGATATTCCCGAGGAGATGTTAATTCTTTGGAAAAATTACATTCTTTCCGGAATCGTTACCTACCTACCGGGTCATTACGTAGCATTCACAAGACGTACCAAAAAACGGACAATGGGAAGTCTTCAGCGATGTGTCCAACGGAAGACCTATAGTTGGCGAGCAATTAGGCAAGTATCGGTAAGAAGAACATCCATCCTAGCCTCATATTGTGTGTTTTGCTAGTTTACATTGTTTGACGTTGTGTAAACTCACCCATTATGTTTATTGTGGCTTATTTGCCTCTGTTAGGTAGCGAAGGCTCTACCCTGAGTTTCAATTTGTAATTATGATCCGTACATCCATCTGTCAAAGTGTCAACCAACTAGAAATGAAGATACGCTCAATCTTCCTTGGTGACAAAATAATAATAAGCGTTTGTACAAAACGTGTCGAAACCTATGTGTTGGTTAAGGGCGAGAGGTTCTACATTTTTGTCGTTCAGAAAAACACAGAAAAAGCTTAAGATGATATTATACATTTTTTTTCACTACTAGCGTCTGATGACATGATTATTAACCTTTTTTCCACTTGTAAAGTAGGCTTTCTCGGCATTTGTTCAAAGTGGTTAATAATGTAAACATTATTAACTAGTAATCAATAATGAGAACTGTCACGCTGTCACTTTTAGAAAACACAACCCGAAATTTCGCTCAATAAACGTTTGGACAAGTTCTCTTAATTGAATAATAGCCACCATTCGCCATTTCCAGAGAAATTACATACCTAAAATTATCACATTTTGAAAAAATTCGAACGAAATTACTCTTTGAAAATATCTCAATGACAGAACAAAATACGGCCTGTTTGACTTGTACTTCTACGTACTTGATTGACATGTTAAATTAATAAACAAGAAATTATGTCCAACCGTTCACTGTCTTATCAATATAATATGTAAATTTAGAGGATTTCAAGTGCTAGTAGTGAAAAACATAGTACGAGGGCTATTTTTTTTCAAGTTCCGATCGATCAGTACGTAAAATTAGGAAGGAGTATTCGAATGAGAGTTTGGTTTTTGAGAATAGTAGGCTTCCCCCACCACTAGCAGTTTTAGCTAGGCTGACCGATCAGTTTTCTCCACGACAGTGAAGGGTAAACATGTCATTCATAATCGACTCTGCCGCCAAGTGCGAACTCCGCTCTGTAATTCGATTTCTCTGTGCTGAGGGGCATAACGCTGCGGAAATCCACCGGAGAATGAGCAAAGTGTATGGTGACAACTTCATGAGCGACAGTATGGTCCGGAAATGGTTCCGGGAGTTCAAAGAAGGACGAACTGACGTGCATGATGAAGGCGGCCAGGGAAGAAAGTCTGTGGCGACCGACGATGGGAGGTTTTTGATCATCCACCGTACAGTCCGGACTTGGCTCCAAGCGATTTTCATCTCTTTCCTAAATTGAAACAAGCTCTAGGAGGAACACGTTTCAGAACAGGAGAGGAGCTCCAAGACATGGTCAGAACATGGTTGGACGAGCAGGCGGCGGACTTATACGAGGAAGGTATTATCAAGCTAGTGCCCCGCTATGAGAAATGCTTAAATCGCCTTGGCGATTACGTAGAAAAGTAGAGTAAGGTTGTAGCTGCGTATGTAAATAAATATTTGTATATACTTACCTTTGTTTTTATTTGACAGCCAATCGGAACTTGAAAAAAAGATAGCCCTCGTATATATACCACGGTAGAGAAGTTTATTATTACCTTCGCACCTTACACCCCTCGGCGCAAGCGCCTCGAGATGTAATTTTGGTGCTCAGGCAATAATACTGTACTTCTCTACCTTGATATATAATGTACTATTTTTAACAAGAAAGAAGGAAAAACAAACGACGGTTTAATCAAAACTTACAGAAACTAACGAATCTTTATCCAAAATTACCTCTGAACTAACAATTCTAGCACACGCCCGGACAATTTTGATTTTGGGATAACATTAGTACCAAAGAGAAACTAACGTCATTCTTGCCAGAACTAAAAACTAACAGGTACATTGTAAATTGACACAATTGGTTCAACTTCCAGGAGCAACTTCACGGACCTCATTCGTGAGCAATTTTAGACTCCCTCCACATACCTTTTGCGACGAATCGCAAAAACCATGTACCTTAAATTTTGAAACTGCCGGAAGGTTCTTCTTTGTATCATCTAGAATCCTACATACCTGTTATAGGCAATTCTTTGCCTCATCAGTCATCACATCTAATTTGCAATTGAATCAATATTTAGCTAATGAACATTATTGGACCCAGCACGCCATACATTTTTGAGATGATCGATAATAATATTTTTCTCTTCGCGATTTCATTATTGGCTATTTAGATAATTTTTATCACATACTTCATAAAAATCATGTTGTCTAATCTAATCCTTGTGAAGTTTATAATTTTTTTGTTGCGCAATTTCCGTCTCCGAAAAGAGAACAATCCAGGCAAGTTCTAATGGTACGGTAGCATTAGTACCATTGGTACCTCCTTGTCTTTCCCTTTTTTAATATTTTCTCTTCGACCTCTGTAAATAAATAAAGACCTGTCACAAAGCGTCAAACCATTCATTTCGTCTATCAATCGTTCGTTTTAGGAGAAATGGATTTTTGATTACTTGATGTTACAAATGTGTCTTCTGAAGAGAAGTTTTGGTATCTTGCTTCATTCTCAAATGTTTCTTGTAATTTACACGACAGGTGAAATTGAGATTTGTTGACACAAAGCATAAACTTGTAATTTCTTTTTTTTTCATGATTTTTGTTGAACTTGATATTCATTTGATTAAGTAGTACTGTTAATCGGTTCCTAGAAATGATAGAGAAGTGCAAGACAAGTTCCTACTTGTATATGGTTCCCTATATACTACTTTGCAACAGTTCTTTAATAAGTGACAACCACGTGCGGTAGTGTACTAAATCCCACGTCTTGGTATTCTTGAGATTGAAAATGTCGTCTTCTATCGCCTCTTCTCATTCCTTATTCTCGATAGCTTTTTCGAGCTGTTATGTTTCCTTCTCGCTCTGATCCCATAATCGGTAACCATTATTAATATATCCCATCATTATAGCATCGGTTTGCTACATTCCTTCATTTTTCCTTGTAGCTCCATTGGAATATGCGAATAGGCTGTTGATATCTGAATATAAGAACGGAACTAGACTCAACCGTTGAGTGAAGGAATCGAGACTCAATCGTTGAGTGAAAAATTAATATTCAATGACTCAACTTAATCTCATAATTTCTGCAGGCTCGGCGTAGGGCTAGGTTCAAACAATTTTGTGTATCAAAAACCCGTATTTTATGGCTGGGGTTGTATCCAGTAGAGAGCCAATAAATTTTTAAAATTCTCAAATTTTCACTCTTGTACAGTAATGGAACGTTGCTAATACCAAAGAGTAACAGTACTCTTTGCTAATACACTATTTTGTTCTCCGAAAGAGTATGTTCTACCTAAGTAGAAAGTCATCTAGAGAAACAACAGAAAGTACTAAGCCTTTTTCTCTAAGCAGGCTCACAACTGGGTGTGCGTGTACATACAGCTCAACCCAAAGGGTAAACTATTTAATTCGTATAGTAGCCTACCATTGAAACGCAAACAAATATTTTTTATGGCTGAGGTGAATGAGTATTATATAATATGCATCTTTTAGATGCACAGATTTCGGTCTAAACGCCAAAAATAATGGCGGGACACACTGTATATAGGAATATTTCTATTTATTAAATAAACCCGGGGGCATTATTTACGAAATTAGCACAGAGTTGGTTCGTTTCATTTGAATTTGTATCCCAGTGTTTTTTCTTTTAGAAATCTTTTTAAATGCATAATTCTTATTTCAATTTTACCTCCTTTATAATTTACTCAATTTAGATAAGGTGTTCGAAGTAAAACACATCTGGTCGAATTTGCGTGTTTTATAAAGGTTACCTACATTTTGTCGTTTGCGGTAAGGAGTCTTATCAGGCGAAAATTAATTAACGCACGTGTTTTGTCGCTGTGAAGAGATAACGCAGAGATGCAGGAGTTACGAAGAATTGCGCGTTTCACATTAGAGTTGTGGGAACGTTTGACGCATTCCGTAGTGATTGGCTAGTTATTCTATTGCGGTAAGTGGTGTTTCCCTAAATACTGGAGACAACGATATCTAAAATCAAACTTTAATGCGAGATTTATGTTATCCGCTTCCTTGCTTAATTAAAAGTGATAACAAAACCAGAGCCGGAGATTGCAATTGACTCAATCGTATGTTTTTATTGCTTCTGATAATCCCAATTTCAACAATTTGTTCAGCTAGAGTGTGAATCGGAAAACACTTTTTCCATATTGTCATCTTTGCCTAACAGGCTTAAAATATCTGGTGGAAGTACATTCACAGACTCGTCTTCTCTAAGTTCCTAACTTGTTTCATATGCCAAACCAGATAAGCATAATGCCTTACGCAACCAAAAAGCTTTAAATCTAGGAAAAGGCGGTCCGCGGTATTACGTTTTAAAGATCAATTTAATAATGGACTAACTGAGTTCACTGTCAGCTTGGGCTAGGCCTATGAACGCTACCACCCTAGGCAGGTATGTTAAAAAATTAACAAAGGCAAATAGGTAGGTGTAATGTAGGTTTACCTTTCTCGGCGAACTAACTGTGCTCACTGATAGTTTTATGGAGAAAAACGCATTTCAACATTTGCTTTCCCTGATTAGCAATTCATCAAATGTGTACCTGCTACTATCACATTAATACCAGAAAGGCCAGGCCAGAAGACATCTAACACGTGCTCCTGGTGGCGAGAATAGCGCCCTGTAACACGTACTTACAGAGGGGACAGGAGACGAAGGCCAAGAAATCTGGAGTTGCCTTAGCAAATGGCAGCGGGTAAGTACGTGCGTGCCTACTCGTTGCGGTTTTTCTAACGGGAAGCAGGGGCACTACAATTTTATTTACGAAGCCAGACCGAAAAAAATTGTGTAAGTAAAGTTCATGTGTTTTACGAGAATCGTTTTTTATTGCACTTAGCATATTCTTTATTAAATTTCAGTTTTTAGGAGTCTGCCTTGAATGACACTGTAAATTTCCGATGGAAGGAAGAAACGTTTGCATTAATGAAGTTAAAAGTTCCACGAGGTGCGTGTGTATAATTGGGCCGTAAAGCTTTTAGAATTTATAATAACTTACTTAAAAGTGAAGACAAATGCATAGAAGGTAGTACGAAATTTGACAGTTATTGAATTAATTAGTGGATACTAATATAGGTACGCTTGTGACATTTACCAGACACGTATAGGTAAACGAAAAGCGCTTACTTTGAGAACCCGACGCCTTGTTCATGTATTTGGAATCAAAGCGATTATTCAAAGTACCTACCTTGATGACGACATTTAGAACGCCACATACCTGTAATGAACTGTTTTCCTTTTACATTTTTGAATAACACCGAACACAATAGTATATTAAGTATGGAGAACGGTAAGGGATTTTTACCGTTCGAAGACAATTGTTTGGAGGAGGAGCGAAGCGACGACTCCAATTATTGTCTGAGAACGGTAACCCTTAACGTTCGACGTGCTTATAACATTTTTTGCGCGATCGAAATTAAATTTATGCAACCAATATAAATATGCACTAAGAAATTAACGAGCAGAATAAATCGAAATGATCGAAGTGGTATGGTGTATATCACTAGGTAACCAGTTTATTTGTCAAAATTGAAGTTAATAATTTCATAAAAATGTGCATGTGTCTGATGTAGTTTACTAGCTTTGAACTTCCTTTATGACTTTATGCGAGCGTCTTGCTATAGGAAACAACAGCACAAATTGTACGTTTAATGTACCTAACAATAATTAAAGATTAAATGTAATGTAAGACTGTTGATTTTTAAAAAGGCGTCGGTAAGTATTTTTGCTGTTCTGTTTTTAGATCGGTAAGTAATTTTGACGTCGTCGTAATCATAGCAACTGGTAAATTCTACCTACTGTCATGGAAACACCCATGGTAAATAGTCAGAAATGACCGATCGCGCAAAAAGTAATTAATTAATAATTATTTTCGAGTGCTGCGTTGCTCGCACAGGTTTTTGGATGTCGAAAACTTGGATTTTTGACATCCATACTCAGCCTAGCAATTAAAAAAAAATAGAAGTGACACATCTGATGCAAGGTATTATGATAATTTGATTGGACTAAAAGCAATCAAGTCCACATTGAAACTACTTTGCAGCGCAAATTTCTTTGAAATGACTGGAAAACCGGCAGCATAGTGAATAGCGTGCGTTGTTCGTTACGAAATTATTTGCGACCGTTTTCGTGTGGCGCACAGTCCACGTAGACAAAATTTTCGGCGCACACGGGCTTATTTGTGTCGAATTCAACACACAACGCAAATATTTACCAATGTGGATCCGCCTTTAGGTTACGCAGAGTTTTATAATGTTCCCGATGACTAGGACATCCACTGCGTTTAAAGCGTTGAAGTGCTTTATTTCTTAGTGAAATGAAATCATAATCTGCAAGATATCCGTTAACCAAGGAACGAATGGTTTTATAAACTTTGATGTTTTCACTGGAGCATGAACATCTAGTAAATGTATAATAAGTATTTACAGTAAGGAACTGCACTTTATCATCTATGGTAGGAAGATTGTAAATTGTGTTCTAATCGACAGTTCTTAAGTCGCGGTCAAATACCTGATAGTCAAAGTGCTTAAAATCTCGATATGTTCTTTCCAAGGCTGGCGGAGTGCTGCACAATAGATTTATTCGGCAAACCAATTCGTGCAAAGGTGAAAAATCACTATTGGCTGCACTTTGTCGCCTGTCCGTCCGTCACACGTACTCCTTCTACACTACTGAACTGATTTGGGCGATATATGGCTCATTTGATAGGGCTTGGTCCAAGGATTCCGTACATACCTATATTTGTTGGTTTTGCGCATGCGCAGTGTCAAAAGTTTGAATTAACGCATGTGCAATGCTAACTTTTTTATTTATGAAGATAGGTATTTAAATGAAACTGTATACGCAAACACTAGGAATATAAGTAAAATTAACGACGTTTTTCAAAATGTTGTTTTGCGCATGCGCAATGGTAACTTTCTGATTTACGAAAGCAGGTAAATGAAATATCAATGTAGGCACTTTGATGAAATCAAAACCACAGATCTACACATACATATACAGGGTGGTGCTTAGCGCGACGCAGCATAGGGATTTCAATGGTAATTTCTTTATAGTCAATTACTAGCTCCCCTAATTATTTTAGAGCAAAAGTCTAAATAAGTTTTTTTTAGAGAAAAAAATACTGAATCTGTTCATGCTATTACTCATAATTTTCCGTTTTTCAAAACTGTAGAAATCGACAATAGTATATTGAAAGACAAGTGTTACAATGCGACCTATTGTAATACGACTATCTTGTGGCACGAGTGGCGACGCGGTGCTTTAATTTAATTAAAAAAATCATTATCAGAAACTATAGGGAACATTAGAACTAACATGTTTTATGTTGGGAACACTTTTTATGCCGTTAAGTTTTAGGTTGGCAGCGTAGTAAGACTGACATTTTGAAGTTATAAAGAGTTCAAACATGGAAGTACCCAACGAAGTACCTACTTGTACTAACTAGTAACTGCCAACTTAAGAGATGAGTTACCAAAAAAAAAACGACTATAATCACTGTCTTTGTACAACTGTTTTGTACAAAATCATCATTGTGACACCGAAATAGAAAAAATAAAAAGTTTCATTTTACAATAAATCAAATATGCCTTGGAATCACCTAAATTTATACTTGTTTATAAATTAGTTAAAGAACTGCAAGTGCAATAACGTTCAAAATGTCAGTCAAAACCATCAGGAAAACGACAATACATTCAACGTTTTAGCTGCAGTAGCGGAAAATCCGAATATAAGTTTAGGAACAAATCTTCTTCAAATCATTTTTTTTTCTTCGATTATGTAGGTACTCTGATTCCGGAAAAAGATAAACAAATAGTATCTGATGCAGATGCAGCATACATTCTCTAAAAAAACATTACCCAATTGCCGCTTTTTCTTGCATCGGATAGTTGTAACAGAATTAAATATGAAAATCGTTCGACGTCAAACAACGATAACTTAGATGCGATGCGCTTGTAGTTTGTTAAAAGATTCCAAAGCATCACTGATTTATAAAAATGTAATTTTTTATTTTGTCGATTTCTACGGTTTTGAAAAACGGAAAATTATGAGTAATAGCATGAACAGATGCAGTATTTTTTTCTCTAAAAAAAACGTATTTAGACTTTTGCTCTAAAATAATTAGGGGAGCTAGTAATTGACTATAAAGAAATTACCATTGAAATCCCTATGCTGCGTTGCGCTAGGCACCACCCTGTATATAAAAATGAACCCCTGTTTTTTCTGGTCACGCAATAACATTAGAACGACTTTACCGATTTCATTCATCTTTTTTTTTAAGGTTTTCTAATACTGTGTAGAAGGTTCTTACGGCAAGAAAGACTAAGAAAATCGCGCAGAAAATTGGAAAATTGGAGAAAACTTAACGACTATTTAAACATCGCGCGTTTGACGGTGCGGCAGCAATTGTTTTAACAGCTACATCGATCGGCATATATCCGTCAAAAAATTAATTTGTGTGCTGTCAATTCGATCGGAAAGTTTATCCAGATTTCAGTGAGTTTTTTGAGAAATGTCGATGTTATTTCACCGCATTCACGCCTTTTATATTAAAAGTTTGATATACCTACCCAATATTCATTTTTGGTAAGTGGTTAAACACGTGGTAAACATAGTATGCATAGCTAGGAAAGAGGACAACGTCCGTCGGATCAGCTAGTTTATAATAATCTTCATGTCTCGATGCAGGTTTTCATCTTGAAGCCGTGATGCAGCCAATTCCCGTTCTAAACGCTCCGTCTGGAGTTGGGAATTTCTTTGTCTGGCCTGGAAAATTGTCAGCATCTTCTCCAGACACCCCATTGATAACATCGCCAGCTCTTGGGGTGTGGACGGCTCGTGCCATCTGGGCGATTCATGAGATGGCGGCGGCGGTGGTGGTGGTGGCGCCTCTTCTCGGTCGATGGCTGCTGAAGACGGCGGCGAGACGTGTTCATAAAATTCTCTTAGTAATTGCATATCTTTTTCCCCCCTAGGCAACGGGGCACTGTAACAATAAGAGAAACAATATTAAAAATAGATTATATGTAGAATAAAAGTAACTTACTGAAAGTGATTGTTGCCGCCGTTATTTACAGGTAGCTGTAGTGGTAAATTTGGTTGTTGTTGAGCTGGATTATTTCTGTAACGTAACAATAAAATAAGTATTTCCACATAAACGGAGGTACAGTAATGAGTAAACTTACGGAAATTGATGCATGTCACCCATCGCGGATTGTGGATGTAAAGCTACCATTTCTGACGGCTGCGTTTGAGTATTTGCCTGGGGTAGCGGCGCAGGAATTATAATATGCTCCAATATTTGTACTGATGGATACGGGCTGTAAAACATATATGTATTAGAAATTTTATTTTTTCGTGAACAATAATTTGTACCTTAACTGTTGTTGGTGTTGTTGTTGCTGGCCATGTCTGGGATCTATCACCGGTGGTCTCATGTGAGGTGGAGGAATCGTTGTAATTGGAGGAGCGTAAACATGATTGAAATTTCCCTTGAAATCTTCCAGTTCATTTGTGGTGGTGGTGGTGGTAGTGGTGGTGGTAGCTATTGTTCTATAAAAAATAAAATAATACAACATTAGTATCTATATGGATGGTGGAGAGCGAGAACTCAATTATTATACAAGTTTACAACTTACCTTTCCGGATGTCCTTCTTCATCTTCCGTGGGGGGGTTGATCACATCACCATCGGATAATTTTGTAGGTTTTTCTAAGGCGGTCTTTAAGATTGAGCGTCCACCACCTCCACAGGCATTTATGTAAGGCTTCTTACTCGTTGCACTTTTCTTTAAAGTCAACTTGTTGTTGGCGCGTTTGGTTGAAGACATGACGATAACGTGCAGATTAACACTTGTGCTGCAAAATGACTACCCCTAGGTATATATGTGAAGGTTTTTGTTGGAGTTAGCAAAAGAGTGATTCTGAAATAACATCAAGGACGTTCTTACACACATATCAACCATTGTCCTGACACCTGCACGCTTTCCAGGAAACGTACATTTCCATGGTGTTTGCAAAACTATAGTGTTAGCAAATAATACCCGTGGAACACCTGCAACATTGAAGATTCCCAGAAGATAGCAAAGACAGCAGAGACCATTCTACACCTCAGTTTAACAATGATAATATTCATTAATTTACTTGGAAGATGAACATATAAATGATTTTTAATCCGTGAGATCTCATATTGACGTGGTATCTGTAGGTATATCGCATTTCGTAAGATACGATAACGTATTTCCTGCCGCTCTTGGAATTTGTCGCAGCACCGTGTTTGCAAGCATCTCTTCTCGTTTCAAGGAACTATATAGGATAACAGTTTTAATTATAGGTAGAGGTGGAATCTGTTACAAGTTTAAGCAACAACATCGTTAATCTAACGCGAAATTAAATTAAATTATTGTAAAATAAATCTGATATTGTGCGACATATTTCAATAATCACTTCTAACATACGTTTATTAGAGAAGGCAATTCCCAATCACCTTCATAATGAGGTAAATGAAAACCCAATAGGACTCGAAGCGAATTTAGCTCAACTTAAATGTTTTCGAGCGCAATTAAAAAATATCTCGATAAAAAAGGAGGGTTGTGGAATAAACGACATCATCGTCGATAAAAAAATCGGCCCCTACGTGCTTTGGCCTGGTACACATTAGATTCTTGTTTCAAAGTCGTTTGATTACCGACGTCATTGTAAATTTCACTCATAAAGATCCTTTAGTTTTTCTAAAACAATCGTGCGACAGCATTGCGCGCAAAATTGGTGAGGCGCTAAAACGTTCAATGCTAAAGGTAAACGTAATTCTGGCATGTAATTTTATCCACCCGCAAGATCTCAATTTAGATTTGAAAACATTTCAAACGAGAAATGCTACAATTGATATCCGTATAAATCTTAAAAAGTGATACAAAGAGAACGTTTTTGATAATCTGCAAGCCAAATTTTCACCGGTCCGGGTGGTGTTTGATCGAGTTTTCTATCTCAAAATCAATATTATTAATTATACTCCTATCAGCGGTGGTTTTTCCGCACATAAAAATGCCCTCGTTTATACTCGCTAAGAAGGGCGGTGTAAATGTGCGAAACAATGATAAGTTTTGTTTTCTATGGTCAGTAGTGGCTGCTTATAGGTATATCCTGTAACCAAAAACGCTGACAGGGCGAGTAGTTATCCTCATTTTGATGATAAGGATGCGGATGTGCAAAAGGACCGTTTCAAGAAAGGTTTCGATCACTACATATATAATACCTACCGTGAAAACGTGTTTATTATTCTGTTGGAAATAAACAGCTATCAAATCAACAGCTTTCAAAATAAACAACTTTCAAATAAACAGATTTCAAATAAGAGCTTATTGAAAAACAGGCTGTTTCCCCTGTTTGTTTACCTGTAAAAAAATGGCAAAGTATACGCTGGTCGCTCTACTTTTAGGGAATTAGAATAAAACAAATATAAAGGGCACATTTAGGCAAACTGTTTACCGAAACAATATTACTTTTTATGGTCTCGATTGCAACATCCATATATTGAAAGCATTCACAGCGACAGTCGTAACATCCCGCACAAGTTCACTTCTACAACCGCCGCATTGTATAATAGTACGGTTCGGATAACAAAATTATCAAAGTCCTCGTGTGAGATCGAAGGGACTTCAGCGCATTTTTGGTTAGCAGATCAGTATTCTATTAGCCACTTTTGACTCAACCATCAATAAAAGATCTTGTCGTAGGCTACTACATTCACTTTGTCGGTACCCGCTTCCCACTTTCCGCGTGCACCCCCAGATGTCGGCAACCCCACATCATGTAGCCCTGTCCCTAAGGTTGACAAATTACACGGCCTTGTAGATACACGTACACCCGTTGCCTTTCTACAAGAGTTCTTCTACGCGCCCACATTTGCTGCCAGACAGCCAGCCAACCAGCCAGCCAGCCAAAGTGAGATTAAAAGCTACTTTTTACAAATAAATTTGCAAAAATGCGCTAAAAATGCACGTGTTGCAGTGTAAGTAGGTTGCCGCCTGCGGGGTAAGGTGAAGGTTATACCTATACCATATGTGTTATCATAAGTGTTATATTACGGTTATACTTAAGTTATAGCAGGATACAGCCAAAGGACGTTAATTCATAGTACAATGTGAGGGCTTCCCAGTGCAAACTGTGGATTGCTGCGTATATACGGCGTATACCTCCGTATAGCAAATGTACAGTCGTTTACATCCTGAAACGAAAGTCGGAAACGTTGGAAAAGCTACGAGAGTACGTCGAGATGGTCAACACCAAATTCGGTAAGAAGCCGAAGATACTTCGCTCAGATAATGGAGGTGAGTACACTGGGGAAAGTTTTAAACGATTTTTGAAAGAAAATGGCATTGCCAGTCAGTTCACCGCACCGTATTCGCCACAACAAAATGGCATTGCGGAACGTAAAAACAGGTATCTAATAGAGATGGCTCGGTGTATGTTAATCGAGGCCGGACTTGATCACCGGTTCTGGGGTGAAGCCATAACGTGCATCCCTTCGGCGTTGATGTTTACTGCTACATACCGGAAGAAAAGCGTAGTAAACTAAACGAAAAAGCGAAAAAGTTGAAGTTTATGGGATATAGCGAGGTGTCGAAGGCATTTCGTTTGATGGATGTGTCGACAGGAAGAATTACAATAAGCCGTGACGTAAAATTTTTGAACAGCTTCGGCTCTGTGCAATCTCCAGAAAGTGTCACTTCATAAAGCGAAATAATTGTTCCATTTTTGACAACGGATCCATCTGAGTGTGAGCAACACGAAGTTCCCATAGCGGATGAGGATGAAGAAGACGTCTGCCAAGATGCAATTCCTATTGTTGAAGAAAATACCTGTAGAAGGTCTGCTAGGACAACGAAAGGACAAATGCCTGATAGATACGCTTGTGCGGCAGAAACTGGAGTTCAGGAGGAGCCGAGAACGGTGAAAGAGGCGCTGTCTGGACCAGATTGCGACAAGTGGAGGAAGGCCACGCTAGAGGAACTTGAATCAATCCGAGATTGTGACGCTTGGGAGTTGGTCGATGCCCCATGTGGAAAACGTACGTTGGGGTGTAAGTGGATTTTTAAACTCAAGCGAAATACGAATAACGAGGTAATAAGGTTAAACCCACGACTAGTAGCTCTAGGCTATAATCAACAATATGGAAAGGAGTACGACGAAGTGTTCGCACCAGTTGTTCGTGAAACAACATTTCGGGCGCGGAAGTGAGTCACGGCAAAGCGATGAATGGTCGTAAGGCAGTATGAGATAAAAACAGCGTTTCTAAACGGCGACCTTGAGGAGGAAATATTCATGCGACAGCCGCCGGGGTTCATCGTCAAAGTATCTGAAGAGGTCCGTCGTTTGAAACGGAGCCTGTATGGATTAAAGCAAAGCGCTCGTTCGTGGAACAATAATCTTCATCAAGTACTGGTAGGCGATGGCTTCAAGCGAAGCGAAGCTGACCCATGTTTGTATAGCAAGCAGGTTAATGGGAAACGATGCTACATCCTAGTTTATGTAGATGATTTAATCATTGCTAGTGAGGAAGAAAAACTCATCACGTTGGCCGGAAGGATATTAGAGAGAAACTTCGAGATTGTGAGCTTGGAAGAGGTTCGGAATTACGTCGGTATCGAATTGGAACGCGATAATGCTGGGGATTTTCATATTTCGCAACGAAAATATGTAACGGATATCGTGAAGTCAGCTGGTTTGGAGGATGCTAATTCATCTCCGATTCCCATTGACGTGGGATATTTCAAGCCAAATACTGAAGACAAGCCACTTCCTGATAATACGGAGTACCAACAGCTGGTGGGAAAATTGCTTTTCGTGGCTGTTAATAGCAGGCGAGATATAGCTGCTCCTGTATCCATTCTCAGTCGTAAACTGTCGAATCCTACGCAGCGTGAATGGAATGAACTGCGAAGAATTGTACGATATCTGAAGGGGTCGATCAACTTGAAGCTTCGTCTAAGCAGTCGTGCCGATGATTCTGGTTTGGTTGGATATGCTGATGCGGATTGGGCGGAATGCCGAAATGATAGAAAGTCTAACAGTGGATTTTTATTCAAATTCTGCGGCGGTACTAAAGGGTGTTTTTTAAGCCCGATAGAATTTTAAACTTGAATAAAATAATACAAAAAACAGCTCTTGAATAAAAAATCTATGTTTATTGGAAACATCATAATATGACATTAATATTAAAAATTATTTGAGGCATATGGCCACCGCGGCTGTCTCTGACGAAGCGAATTCTGTCAGTCCAATTTCGGGTAACTTTTTCGAGCATTGGTGCCATTATGTTATTAATCGTACGAACAGTGTTCGCTTCCAAGGCGTGCAGGGTTGCTGGTTTATTAACAAAAACCAATGACTTTACGTAGCCCCATAGGAAATAATCAAGAGGCGTCAAATCGCAGAACCTGAGTGGCCACTTGACAGGTCCATTTCTTGAAATCAACTTGCAACTGCTCTAAAGCCCAGAACGCCACAATCGATGGTCTACTAAGCCCTACCTACTGAGACAGTTTTGGATTTTCTTGCACACTTTCATTTACAGCGGCAATATTCTCTTCAGTGCGCACATTTCTTCCACATATTGGTGTTACTGCATCCATTAGAGAAAGGGTGGTACGTAATCTTTCCACATTCCGACGAATGGCTATAGTTCAGATGGACGATTATGTATGCCGTAAAATTCACGAAGGCGTCTATACGTTTTGCGAATCGATGACTGATTTTCAAAGTAAATTTGAATAATTTGATAGCGTTGTTCAAGAGTGAGTCTATTCATGATGATTTGTCACACTATACTAAATTTAAATATCATTAATAATGAGCAAACTGACACCT